CATAGCTCTTAGAATTTACTCTATTTTCATTTAAGCCCATTTTTAAGCAATTTAGATGAAAATTTAATTTTTCATTGTCATTGCTAAAGAGTGCTTTTTAACATAATACTTCAAGTGAAAGATTTTTTTTTAAATGATCTCACACATGCACACGCACAGGGTGTATACATAGTACAATTATGGACATCCCCCCCCCTCCCCCTCCGGTAAATTTTTAGGGTGATTTGTCGTTGATCCCGATTTTTTTCCCCGTGAGATCCTGATTTTTAGATATCATAGAGTGGCAGGCCTGGTGTTGTGACAAGAGTATTGTGGCTTTTTCGTGATATTAAAATCACTTTTCAGTTTTAAAAGTCACAAAATAAGTCGTTAGACAAATGTTAAATGTTCAGTGAATTAAATCAGTAAGTACACTTTTCCAAACAGTAGTTTCAAGTGAGATCCATAATATAGAATTTGTCTGTATTGTGGTTTTCAAGGCTCTGCTGCCACTGGTGAATGTCCCACTTTTGGACTACACTCTTGAAGCTCTCGCAACGTCTGGTGTACAGGAAGTCTTTGTTGTCTGCTGCCACCTTGGAGATCAAGTGCGAGGACACATCAGGTATGACAGGTGGAGATATCTCTAGAACTTTTTTTGTGTGTGTTTTTCATTTTAAAAGATTGTTGATTATTTCTTTTAAAGTTTTTCCCCAATTTCTCCTATTTTACCTTCAATGTAGTTTTGTATCGATTGTCATTTGGTGTCAACACTCTATCATACACAGAGTTTTGTCATTGGTCATTAACTAATTATCATACGCAGCGTTGCACTTTTGTTGCTGACTTTAAGATCTTGTGCATTGTATGTCTAATTTTTATGTTTTAGGCATTTGTCTATTCTTTGTCAACCTCTGTACTGTGATCCAGAAGTTTTTGTACTTGTCTAACATATAAGTTTTAGATGTTTGTCTGATCTTTACAATTTTCTTTGTACATTGATACAGACAGTCCAAATGGCAAGACTGTGGCTCACCTATGGCGGTGACAGCCGTCATGTCAGACTCGTGCCTGTCTATGGGAGATGCCCTGCGGGAGATTGACAGCAAGGCTCTGATCCGCACCGACTTCATCCTGATCATGGGGGACATAGTGGCCAACATGGACATTGGTCAAGTGGTCAAGGAGCACAAGTGAGTGACAGACGTCTTTGATATTTTCCTCTACTTCTTTTGTATGTTTGACACTCTCTTGTGGACTGCTATTTCCGGGGTGCCTTGATAGTCGAAGCCGACTTTGTGCTGTTGAGACTAGAGAGGTGAGCTGAGTATGTCTGATTCCCCATTTGGTCTTAGACTGTTGACATCCACCCCTTGGACCATCCACCAAATGACCTTATGCAGTTGCGAGCGCCGTAAAACCTCTACTAAAATTAAAAGACATTTCTCTGGCTCTCAGTGGGTCTTCTGAAGATTATTATTTTCTCAGTTAATATGTCAGTGGTGTCAGTTTGTGGTGAGGGTTACATACTGTGAAAAGCCAGCAATGTTGTCGTCAGATTTGTGTGAAAATTAAACTGCCCCACAGAGGCCTTCTTTATAGGATGGTCCAGATCTAGCACCTTTTTTTTAAGAAAACGTGTAAGTGCGCTATGAAATGAGTTCTTTTAACAAAAATTTATGTTTATTGAATTCTGTTGTTTATAAACAAAGTTAAGTGTTCCTAGCTGATGTGATCAGAAAAAAGAATTTCTAATACTAAATATTCTAAATGTTTCTGGAATATCAAAATTTCTATCTAGTTATTTTCATGTTGGTGAATGTTGCTACTCTGTAACGAGAGCAATGCATTTTTTTCAATATGTCTGAACCCAAAGTATTCCTTGGTGCAGATTTGGTCAACAGGGTTCTTTATTTGAAATAGCCATACTTGTTAAAAAAATGTATTCCACAAAATTTGACATTTATTATGAAACTTTCCCATTTGAACCTTAAGGGCATGTTTCACAGAAATAATGAATTGATTGATAAATATAATGACAATGGTTTGGGAAACTATGTGTTAAGGAAATTATGAAAAGTTAAAAAGCCTGTGGTCACATCAAAAGACGCAAGCAGAAAATATAAGTAACAGGAATGATAGATAGGAGAAAAAATGAAGAGGATGACTGAAGAAGTTTACACAGACTATGGGTATACGAACAGATGCAATATTTTTAGCCTGTGATGGGGAGTTTTTCAGAAAATAGTTTTCTTGTACTACTTTCAGTCCTTTTTATTTTGCCCTAGGAGCAGAGTTTTTGAACTCTTTGTAACCATTACGATGCTCACAAGCTTTTTGGGGAAATTCAAGCGAACCCATGTTACAGAACAGCAAATACGTTTTTTACCATGCTCCTGATTCTTTCCAACCAGAGCTCGTACACAGGGCAAAGACAAGTCCTCGGTGATGACCTTGGTCTTCAGGGTCGCTCAGCCTGGTCATCGGGCCCGGACAAAGGAGGAAAACATGTTCCTCATTGAGCAGGGAGACACAGGCAGATTGCTCTACTTCAAGAAGACGAAGGATGACAGTCGCAAGATAGCAGTGCCCATGGTGAGTGGTGGCAGATTATAAAAAATGTCTCTTGTCTGCAAGCTCAGAGGACCTAATGAAAGTGGCCTACCGTCCCGTCCATCCACAACTTGCAAATAATTCACCATCACAGCGTCTTCTTTCCTGAAACCTCATGTGAAACCCACTTCCATTCTATCACGTATCCATCAATACCTTTGTTCTGTCTGGAAGGGAAAATGAAATGTCCCTTCTAGATGTTTTTTTCAACTGTCCTTGCTTCTGTTTCCCTACCACCCCCATGGTTGTGGTGGTTTACTAAAGAGTACTGAAAATTCTTTCCTGATATGATGCAGAGTGTTGTGGACCATTTTGTTCTTCCAGAATAATGGTAAAAAAAAAATGTCATCATTTCTTGTTGTCTTATAAACAAAGGAGTGGGTGGTTGATCCAGGCTCGAGATAGGTCTGCTAATTTCTGTTTCCTTTGTATGTCATTGCATTCCAATCTTTCCTAACTAGCTTCTCTGCCATTGTCGCTGCTCACTTTACTCAGCTTCTCTGACCCTCCAACCACGAAAAGGAACATGAAAATTGAAAACCAGACCATCTACTTCTCTTTTCTCTCCTATTGAAAAAAATAAATAGATAAATGCTGAAACTATTACTGAAAACTTAACTGATCGGAACAGGATATCCTGATGGAGCATGATGACATCATCGTCCACAACGACCTGATGGACTGCCACATCAGCGTCTGCTCCCCGTCCGTCCCGACACTGTTCACGGACAACTTCGACTACCAGACCAGAGACGACTTTGTCAAGGGAATTCTCATCGATGAAGAGGTATGTAGGTGTATGTATTGTTCCAGAGGAAGGGCCTCACTGGTTTTCAGCTTCTCAATGATCGTCCTCCATTCGAATTATAGTAGACTGCTCTTACTGCTTCATGCTATTGTTTTTATATATCTTTTTAGAAGTTTTAAAATGTCGTGCTGTTTTATTTGTTTCTGAATCTTTTTGAGTTCTTAATACAAGGAAAGGCAAAAAGGGAAAAGAACTTACTTTACTTTACTTTTACTTTTTTCTTCCGCTTGTACCGGGGGGTGTCGCGGGGAGACACAGGCGTCTGTCTGCAGCAAGTCGTTGTGGCCTGTAGGAGGGACATCCCGTGAGCTCTAAGGGTGTCTGCCACAGATTCACTCCATCGTCGCCTTGGTCTTCCTCTGGCTCTCCATCCAGAATATTTAGTGTTGTGTGCTCTCAGAGCTGGATGGTTTGAGGGCATCCGCGTGAGGTGTCCGAACCACTTGACCCCGCGGTGTCCCTTTTGTTTTTCAATTTGGTCTGGTGTTGCTCCCGCGGTGTCCCTTATCTCTTCTTGTTTAATTTTGTCTCTTCTTGTTTTGTTGACCGCTCTTCTTAAGCATTTCATCTCGCATGTGACCAGTTTCCTCTCTAGGGCTTTTGTTAGGGACCTTGTCTGGCACTGATATGTGAGCGTTGGAAGGAAAATGGCGTTGAGTTTCTTTTGTGTGGACAAGGTATAAAACATTTACAACAGTTTTTGTCACAAAGGTTGAGGGTTTTTTTTCTGCTGCAGTCTCTAATTGTAAGGAGTATTAATAATTTGAAAAGCCTTGACATTATTTGAATATCTTCACTGTGAGAAAGGAAGTCCCACTTGACCTATGAAACTACCTTCAAATATGTTGTGTATGGTCAGAAGTTCAAACTTTAGGGTCATTTCTTCTGTTTTTGTTTTGTTTTTATTCAACAGCTGAAAAGAAATGAGGCATAGAGGCTGGCTTTTGTCTTTTTCTGACGGGAAATGTTCTGTCTTGTAGGGAAAATAAAAGTTTTGTTTTTGTCTTTGGTCTCTGTCCTCAGATCATGGGCAACAAGATTCACATCAACATTGTGCGGGACAAATTTGCAGCCCGAGTGTCGAACATGCAGACTTATGATGCCATAAGGTGTGTGTGTCTGTGTGTGTGTGTGTGCGTTTGTGTATGCACGCGCATGTTGTGTCGAACATGCAGACTTATGATGCCATAAGGTGTGTGTGTCTGTGTGTGTGTGTGTGCGTTTGTGTATGCACGCGCATGTTGTGTCGAACATGCAGACTTATGATGCCATAAGGTGTGTGTATGTCTGTGTGTGTGTGTGCGTTTGCGTGTGTGTGTGCACGCGCATGTTGTGTCCACTGGTGTCAGTGCAAGTGTGCATAAAAGCACGTTCATGTGTGTGTGTGTGTGTGTGTTTGTGTCTGTATGTTTGTGTGCACTCAAGAGCTTCTATTTTTTCCCATTTCTTGGTGTCTCATTCTGTCTCTCTCATTCTGTCTCTCTCATTCTGAGTGTGTTTGTTACTCCTTTGATTTAGAAACTTTTTTTTCCCTTTTTTCCCTTTTTGTGTCCAAATGCTTGAAAAATAATGTGATGCGGACTGTACACTTGTATTAAGTGTTTCTATTACAAATTTGGAAAGCAGTTCCCTCTCATACTAAGTTTTATGTATATTCCCTGTTTCCATTCATACAGTTTTCGTGCTGTGTGTTAGTAGTGAGGGATTGAGTAAGTGAATGAGATGGGGGGGGGGGGGGG